TCGCCGCGATTTAACACATTAATTGGCGTTAATTGCTCATGAAAGGGGAGGGAGGGAGGGGGCAAAGAGCCGATGGGAGTGTGGGCCACGTGACTTGAGATCGTGGCATCGTTTGAATGAAGATCTTTGGTCGTATCGGGTACCGAATATTTTGTTTTAGGGGCCGATCATAAATTACGTCACGCACCTAGGGGGGGGGGGGGTCAGACATTTGTGACGATGTGTGACGAGGGGGGGGGGTTGAGAAATGTGACGTAGCCGTAGGTCCGTAGCGAAGGCCACAGAGGGCGTTAAAGGGCACCACGGTGGCTCGGAGATGTTGACTCCCTCGCCTGGTATGCAGGAGGTCGTGGGTTCCGTTCCGACCCTGACGCCTGCTGTATATTTGGATTTTGCGTGTCTCTCTCTCTCTCTCTCATCATCACCACGGTGGCTAGGAGATGTTAACTACCTCGCCCGGTATACAGGAGGTCGTGGGTTCGACCCCAACCCTGACGCCTGCTGCTGGTTATTTGGAGTTTGCGTGTCTCTCTCTCTCATCATCATCACGGTGGCTCGGAGATGTTAGCTACCTCGCCTGGTATACAGGAGGTCGTGTGTTCGATCCCGATCCCGACCCTGACGCCTGCTGCTGTATATTTGGAGTTTGCGTGTCTCTCTCATCATCCTCACGGTGGCTAGGAGATGTTGACTACCTCGCCTGGTATGCAGGAGGTCGTGGGTTCGATCCTGACCCTGACACCTGCTTTATATTTGCAGTTTGCGTGTCTCTCCCTGTGGTGGCGTGGACTTTTTTTAGAGTCCTCCGGATTTTCCCTTCACATTTTTGAATCAACATCACGCGTTTTGAGTATTTGGCTGTTCTAAATTACCACGTGATGATAATTATGATGATGATACGTCACTTGATTTGGGGCCGAATGATGGCCAGGTCGCTTCTGAATAAGAGCTCCGTAGCTCAGCGAAGCCTCACCTGGTAAAATAAAATAATAATAGAAGTTATAAAATACGGCAGGCTCGCTTTTCCTCGAGGCGAAATAAACGGGGCGTTCAGAAGCGAGGGCCCCTAACGATGTCACAATAAAAATGTAATTGGTAGGTTAATAATAGCTTAATTAATTCTCATAATGACCCCTCCCCCCCCCCCTCAGGCTCCCAGTGGAGCTGAACACCAATTATCGCCTCGCGTTAATTACACCGTGGGACCACTCACAGCCGTTAATTACACAGAGAGAGAGAGAGAAAGCACCACCACCACCACCACGCAGCCTCCATCATCCATGCCTGCCACGTGGGTAGCGCCAGGCAGAGCACGATGACTTATTCTAACTCAAGCCACTTACAAAGTGCACGGAAATAAATTCGTGCTACGTGACATTTTTTTCAACTCTTTTTTTTTGGGGGGGGTGAGGGGGGGTGCAGTTTTACGAAACAATTACGATAGGTTAGGTTGTGTACGTACGTTGAAACTTTTTTCGCGCCGTACGTCGAAGGCCGCGCTCGTGGGAGGTGCGGGGGGGGGTAGGGCATGAAGGAAATAAGTTTGAAGGAAATGGCGATGTTGATGGGAGTTGCGTTCAGATGTTCAAACAGCTGAATGGACGTCACGTTTTTTGCAAGGCATCAAGACCGCATTAATCCACGCGTCACTCGTGACGTCACCACGCGTCACTCGTGACGTCACCACGCGTCACTTGTGACGTCACCACGCGTCACTTGTGGCTTCAACCACGTGTCACTTGTGACGTCACCACGCTTCACTTGTGACGTCAGCCACGCGTCACTTGTGACATCAACTACTTGTGGCAAAATACGTTTGCACATCGTTGTGCTGTACTCGTAACGAATTGGCAAGTTCTGTTAACGTGACAAACCCTACTAATTGGCTGTGGCGGGTGGTGGCGGGTTTAGCGACACATATTTACGCGATCTAACCCCCCCCCCCCCCCATAAAAAAAATCTGTATTATGGATGATACTGGTCGCGAAATCCTACATGTTAAACTGTATATTTGGATCTTGATTTGAAGCTTTCGTGACTGCAGGAATCCATACTCTTTGGTTCTTTCGGTAAAGTCACGTAGGTATAAAATAAAATAAACCACGACGTTTCGGGCGCAACACAAGCGTCCGTCATCAGGTGGGAAAGCATGGTCTGCTGCTGAGGCAGACTTTTAAAAGGTTTGAAATGGGTGTAGCCCAAGGGTCATCAAGAAGTGGGCGGGGATAGTGATGTTAATGTGAGAAATTAGCATGTAAATGTAAGAACGGAGAGTGGCCTCCACAAGGCAAGAGCGTCAATGCAAGAGAACCACCGCAAGAGTGTGTCCATGCCAGTGAGACACACAGCCCATAAAACAGTAAGAACCAACGATACATCGAGGCTAAGGGAGCAGACGTGGCCATGTTCGTGAGACCCCAGCCCATTCATGTGTAATGTGAGGGTACACCTGGGTAATTAAGTGGTCACACCTCATTGATAATGATTGACTCTACCAATGGGGAGAGGAGTAGGGGCGTGGCCCTGACGTAATGCGAAGGCGACACCTGGAAGGAGATGATTGGCCCTGCTGGCTTCAGCCACAGCCAATGGGGGGACGAGTTAGGGGTGTGGTCCTGGGACCGTAGGATGGGATCTGGAAGATTCCAGGGAGGTTACCCAGGACTGGCTGAGAGGCACCACGTGACCCAGGGATTAATAGGGGTGGAGACGGGCAACACGTGGTCAGAGCTGGAACGAAGGGGGAAGCCACGCGGGAGCGCGGGGTCCAGAGCTTGCCACGTGGCCGCAACAGTCATCTCTCTCACTCTCTATCCCTCCCTCTCACGCTGTCTGCCAACAGCGTGAAGGAGTCAGATGGCAGAGGAACCTGTACGATGAGAGCTGTGGAAGAAAGCTAATAAACAACACTGATTCCAGAAGTTGCCTCCGCGACCTTTATTACAAATGCAAAGACATATCACACAGGGCAATGCAACTCAGAGAGTCGGAGATAACAGCCAAACGGCAGGAAGGATGGAAGCATCACAGCGAGTTATGACTTTACCTGGTTAATAACATCCTGCGATTGTGAGAGATGGACTGTCGGGCATGTGAGCATGAGAGTGTAATCCAAATCTAAGAGAGAGGCATAGAGAGAGACACCCCCTACCCCCTCCCTTTGATGTTGCTAATCCTGCATTATGCATGGGCATAATATGACTTTGAAACCCCCCCCCCGCCCACCTCCTACGCATTTCCCATGAATATGCTAAATTCCTCTTGATATGCACATTCTTTTGTTAAGTGCTCTTCTTCCACCTCCAACCCAGCTTATATATAAGCTCCAAGCTTGGCAGTGTCTCATTCTTCACCTGAAGACGGCTGCTTGCGTTGTAGCCGAAACGTCGTGAGACTTATTTTATTTTTATTATTTTATTACTTCCCTTCTACGTGACTTTACCGAAAGAACCAAGAAGACGAATCTCTGCAGTCACGAAAGCTTTAAATCGAAACACACAGAGAGTCGGAAATAACAGCTGACATAGGCAGGTAGGATGGAAACATCTCAGTCAGTTAATACTTTACCTTTTTAATAACGTCCTTCCAATGATTGCTCAGTTTGTACCCATCCTATCGGTTGAAGTTGTGTCCGTGTTTATATATCTGGATGGCTTCATTAACAAATCTCTGAAGGTAGCCGGTAGGTTTGCAGAGTACCTCCGTCTTGGAAAAATCGATTTCGTGAGCCCACAGCGTTAAAACAATGATCGGCAACGGCAGAGGTATTGGTCCTACCGTGTTTCAGATCTGCCTTGTGTTCACAAACACGGTCCGAGACATGTCTTTTCATTTCCCCAATGCAACTGCTGCCGCCACCACAACTCAGTTTGTAGACACCAGGGTATTGGATGTCAGGAATCACATCCTTTACAGATGAGATTAAATCACGGATTTTGTGTACTGTGTTGAAACGAACCTGGATCTTGTGTTTGTTTAAGATTTTGGAAATATTTTTGGTAACCCCTGCTATGTACGGTAAAGTGATGGTATTGGTTGGATCCTCAGAAGGTTGTCTCCCCATGGCTGGGGAGGCAGCTTTGCGGATTGTACGGTCCGAGTATCCGTTAATCCTGAGGGCTTGGTGTACATACTCCAACTCCCTGGCTAGGTGGTGCTGGTCGGAGATGCAACGGGCCCTATGGTGTAGTGTTTTGATGAAGGAATTCTTCTGGGCTGGATGGTGGTGGGAGTCAGACTTTAGATAGGCATGCGTGTGGGTGGCTTTCCTGTAGACCGAATGTCCCAACGAGCCATCAGGTCTCTTCTCGATCAAAACATCCAGGAATGGTAGCTTGCCATCCTTTTCCACTTCCATGGTGAATTTGATAAGACGGGTGTATGAAATTGATGTGGTTGAGAAATTGGTTCAGTGCTGCCAGGCCATGTGGCCAGATGACGAACGTGTCATCTACGTATCTCCTCCACAAGGAAGGACGTAGGGTGGATGTCTGGATGGCATGTCTCAAATTTTTTCATGAAGATATTCGCTACCACTGGCGATAAGGGAGAACCCATTGGGGTACCCTCATTTTGATAATTGTTTATTTACCCTTTTATCTGGCAACAAAACTGACATCTTGTTTTACAAGGAGTCATGTTTGCATTGACAATACCTGTGGTCGGAATGCAAACAAAAAAACACAATTCTGATAATGTATGTACTGTCCTTGAAATTAATTAGTCCACACCCAAGACAGCTTTTCTTAGAGCCTAGTCTCACATGGTGTTGGACCAGAAGACGCCAAAAGGCGCACAACTCAAAGACAATGCACCCTCAGAGTACGAGAGCTCTGGGTAAGCAATTGCACCATTGAAACCTCCTTTGCTTCGTACACTCCAGAGTAACGGATGGACTACAGCCAAAACGGCAAAACTTTCTAGACGCATATTTCCATCATCAACCTGGCAAGCAACACCATCACCACCACACAAGGTCGCCACACGGCAGGTCTCCTTGGTTAATGTTTTAATTTTTTTTTATTATTTCATATCGTCAGTACGTGTACAAAACCCCGTTTAGCGGCTCCGCGCTCTGTACAGCGTTAAATGTCTCCAGCGGCGCCCGAATTGGCCAAGAGGTGCCCCCCACCCCCTTTCCCTTTCTCACCCCCATCAATAAACACGCAGCGCCAAGATTTACCACCACAATTCTCCGGATTGGAAGACAGCACCCCCATACCCTTCCCAGCTCTACCCCCCAGCAACCACCCCCCCCCCACCACCACACTCCCTCACCACGCATTTTAAAGCAACAGTTCCGACTGCGTCTCATAATCCCGATGCGGTGTGGCCGGGCTTTGTACAAGTTTATCGTGATGCATTGGGTGCGCATCTTTGCAATTCCGAGGAATACGGTTAACGAGAACAGCCGAGTAAACATTCAACGTCGGGCCCAACGTTGCACGATTTTCTTTTTTTCTGGGAAGGAGGCGGCGGTCGGCGGGAGGACATTTGCAACACCACTTAATTGGTTTCACACGTAGGCTTTCGCGACCGATCTTATCGAGGTTTCGTTTGGGGTTAGATCGGGCGGTGGCGACGGGTTTAACGACACATTTATATTGACGCGATCTAACCCCCACCCCCACCCCCCCACAAAAAACTCGATTATGGACCATTTAATTGACTTTGGTGAAGGCATGACCCCAACATCCGTGGCGCAAATAATAACAGTGGCCTCATTCCCATTGTTAGGAGAGCTCACGCAGCCTTCTTCCAGGCATCACCACTTAGCAGAGGAACCTGTTTTTGTTTACACCCATTTCACCAATCGGGAAGAGGCGGCGGCGATTGAACCCCCAGGGGGGGGGGGGGGCGGAATGCCAACAGCAACGTGGCCCATCGATTCACGCGCGTTTTCTAGGATTGGATTTGTACATTTGGCACGCGAGTTAATGACGGTGTAAAATCGTGCCTTCCGCTCGAAGCCCTGTAACTGCACCGGTCGGGGCAAAACTACACGTGGCATGTGTTTGGCGAACAGTCGGAACGATTAATTAAATGATTAATTAAACGATTATTTAAAGATGAATTAAAGGGCCGAGGCCTTGCAAATTCTTACACGCCTCGATCGACCAAGTTGCGCTCGCTTCCGCAGACGTTATATTTGTTACACCCAAGTGGTGTTCGTTCGCATTCATAGAGTCTATAAACGCCCGTGACCACCAGAGGCAGGGGGTTGGAAATTCCACATTCCTATGACGGGGGGGGGGGGGGGGGGTAAGACGTTCAATTTCAGAGAACCGTCCATTGGCAACCGCTCTTACCGATTCAAGAAAGAGCAATTTCCCAAGATTCGTAACAGCGTGAGCTCCGTATACTTCAAAGTCATTGTTTTACAATGACCACCAGCTTAGGGTTAAGGTTAAAAACGCGCTATTGCCGTGCGTGTGCGTCACTTGACTGCAACGTAATGCCAAAGATGTTCCTGTCACGGATTGCCCGCATGAACCACGACGCCACCAATGAGCTCCCCCACACACGTGGGTGGCAATCGCCCTGTACACCCAGCTGATTCAAAGGGTTTTTGCCCAAAAAAATGTTCCCATCCTAACGGCGACATCCCGTTCGCTACCGCGGTCCTGTTGTCAATGCGTGCCTCGTGAACATGCACTGACTCATTTTGGCAATACACTGCTGGGATGAGGGGCCTACGACCCACACCGAAGTTGCGTCACCATACTTCACCACGGCTCGTCCGTGCGGGTGGACATTGGTGGCGGGCGGGGAAGGGGGTTGTGGGAGCGAGTAGGACGTTACGTTATTGTACTGTGCTGCCCTCCCTCCCTGCTGCCCATCACCACGTAGCCCCACAGCCTATAACACCTGTTACACATAGTGGGTCCCCCAACCACCCCCCACCTCCAATTCGTAGCACCATCCAGGCTGAACCCTGCTTAGCACACACCCCGAAATCTGACGAGATCGGAGTTCACTCCAGGTGATTTTGGTCACGTGATGCATTACACAAAGCTACACAAATTCAATGCCCGTCGATACTGTTCAGTCTGTAGCCCACCGAGTCGTCGTAAGAGTTCGCGAAGAAAAATCGCGGATCAAGGACGTTGACTTTGTTTGTTAATTCAAAGACGTTGACTTTGTTTGTTAATTCAGAAGCAGGGGAGTGATTCAGATCATAACACTGGATGCAACCGGCCCTTTAAAGTCCACGCGACAGTAGACTGAGCCACGCATTAATGTTTTTGGGCAGTTACGTGGGCCATGAAACCGTCGCCACTTCCACGCCAACGCGCAATGAGAATGCAGCTTGGGGCCTAGGGGAGGCCACAGTGGTGGCGAGATGTTAATTTCCTCGCCTGGTGTACAGGAGGTCGTGGGTTAGATCCCAACGGTGGCGCCTGCTGTATATTTGGAGTTTGCGTCTCTCGCTCTAATCATCATCACGGTGGCTAGGAGATGTTAACTACCTCGCCTGGTATACAGGAGATTGTGGGTTAGATCCCAACGGTGGTGCTTGCTGCTGCATATTTGGAGTTTGCGCCTCTCTCTCGTGGTGGTGATCACGTGGATTGTTCTCTGGGTCCTCCGGTTTTTCCCTCCACATTTAGAATCAACGTCACTCGTTTTGAGTAATTGAGCTGCTCTAAATGCCCACGTGATGATGATAAGAGCGATCATTTGCGCTAGCCAAGCTCGCTTCTGAAAAAGAGCTACATGGCTCAGTGGTAAAATAGTTTAGTGTTGTAGTTAGGATCGGAGCTAACCTCTCCGTCTCAACAATAAGAAGCCAAATCCTCCAATGGCATGGACGTGCGTCCAAATCTGAGAACCTGTTGGCAAACCGGCACACGCTCTCTCCCCGGTCGTAATTTGTCGCAGCGTGTTCGACACTAGATATACCGTCTATTTGTACTATATACACGCGCTCGCGCGCACGGCGGAGCAGTGGTGGTAGTAGCTTGTCGGGCGGGGCACAACGTGGGGACACCGCGCACAGCCCTCCTTGCTCACGAGCCGACACAACAAACAAACAAAAACCCCTCTGGCCAACCTGGAGGCACGCTGAAGCGAAACATGATATAATCATACAACAGTGAGCTAGTGTTAAAACGAGCGTTAATATAAGTAACTTTTTTTTTTAGTTTCATCTAGGGTTTTTTTTTTGGTATTGCAATGACAACTTCTGACGACCTTATAACAATATAAAATAGGTACATGTATTACAATCCACCAAGCTATGGTTAGGAGCCAGTGGCCCTGCTGGTGACGGTGGCTTTGGGGCAGCCACCGCCACCAACAACGTCGCGGTTCGGTTTTGTTTTTCGAGCTGAGAGGGGGGGGGCTGAGGAGGGGGGGGGGGGGCTCTTGCTTGGCCACAGAGTCTGTGGTGGGCGGGCGGAGGAGGAAGGGGGGGCCCGGTACAGAGACACTAAACCGGTGAGAATCGCGCGCTGGGAACGATCGTCGACACGCCGAGGTTGGCGAGGCCCCGCGCCGGTGTGGAACTGCCATCGATCGAGGCGCCGTTACCGACGCTCGCCACGATTACCGGTGACCGGACGGAAACGCAGGAGAGGCGGGGAGGGGGGGGGCACATCAAACCGATGGCGTCGTGGACAGAACATTATTTTGTTTTGTAAGAGAGCCCGGTGGAGGGGGGGAGGGGGGGCCCTGCCGCAACCTTGTTCCCAGCGCTGCCGGCTCCGCTGAGATTGAACCGTCGTTCCGTCGTCGGAAATTTTCAAGACGGACGTCGCAAGTGCCTCGCCGTCACCCCACCGCCCCCCCCCCCCACCTCCTCGGCAAAGCAACTCCGAGTGGTTGCTTTGAGCAGGAAATGCAGCACTTTGTTTTCTTGTATGGGGGAGAGGTCAAACGGGTTTTTGGTCACGGGATACTCAATTTGAGATTTCCCCCCCCCAAAAACGGACGCAGATGCCACCGCTTTAGATCGAGATGGAGAGAACGCCGACCGGTGGGCTGGCCGGCGAGGGGGAGGGGTGGCCGCTCAAGCCCGCCTCGGCGCCGTCGTGATGGGTTTGACCCGCTCCCGTACCGCTTGCTGCCAAACCCAGACAGCATCGACACAACCGCGGGTGCCGACACGGGGGACAGGCGACGTAACAGACTAAAAAAAGGTGGACACAACTCGCTACACGTGTTAGAACATAAACATGACGGGGGGGGGGGGGGGAGGAGAACAAAACCAAAATAACAACGCACGCTAAAGGTAACCCCCCGCCCCCACTCGCCCCCCACCGCCCCCCTTAGTTTAACATCGGCAGAAATTATAAACACATCGAGGAAGAGCGCAACGTGGCCCAAACGCTCCCGGAGCGGATCCGGCGTTGTGCGAGCATCTCACGGCGGTGCGAGCACGACGGTGGCAAGGGGACACCCCCCCACCCCCACCATGCCACGCGTTCTTCGCTCCGGCGATGAAATCGTTGGAGGGTTCACAAGCGAGCGACAGAGCCCCGGCGGCTCCCACCCCCCGCCCGCCGCCATCAATCACGGACTAAACTTGGTGGATGCCGCCACCCATACGACAACGACACAAACTCGTCTACGATCCCGAACGAGCGTACGGTTTTCAACTCAACGCAAAAAAACGAAGAACGAAAATGAACGTTTAAGTTTGACTTTACAGGCAGAAATGTGAAGCATTGTTGCTGTGTTTTTTAGGTTTTTTTTCTGTTTCTCAACAAGTCATCCGCCAATGATGACATTTCGTTTTTTACCGGCGAGCGCCGACCACCCTTCCCCCCCCCCCCCCCAAGCATGTCCGGGACGACCTTGTCCAGAGCAGACCCGTGGACTCGGTTTAAAAGAAACAAAAAAAATATAATAAAGGCGGCAAGGACAAAGCAGATTGGGGGGGGGGGGGGGGACCATAGTTTTTTTTTTAAAAGACAGCAACGTAAAAAAGAAGTTATTTTTCACAATCCCGGCCCGTCGCACTTCACTTGCGGATCCTCGCATTAAAAAGAAAACACGCGGTCCCGCGGTACGGTGAGCGACAAAAAAACCGGAGGGAGAAAAGATAAAGACTTAAAAAAGCACAGAACGCCAACTTCTACCGAGGGCCGCACGACTTTGTAGAACCGCTCGGGGTTGCCGCTTTTACTCGTGCCACCGAAACCCCCAAGATCACGGCACGGCGGAGGCGACGCAGCGCCAGAAAAACCGAAACGCGCGGCCGCGCGGTTTCCCCGCTGGACGGGATAGAGGGCCCCCACAGAGGGCCACGCAGAGGGCTACGCGACAGTAAGCCACACGGACGGGACACCTCTAGGCGACGCCATCTCCTCCGGATGTCAGGGATTCGCACCAGCTGCTTCTTCCGTGCACGGGCAGTTTTAAGACCTTGGTAGTGAGAGCAGAGACAGAAAGAGACAGCGAGCGAGAGAGAGACACGCGCTGGCAAGCGGCGAGGCGTGTGCGCGGAACGCGGGCGGGGTCCGTCCGAATCCGAGTCCGGCAAGAGCTACTGGACTGCCGTAAAGCGCGAAGAACAGAAATAAAAAGGCGCGGTTTTAAGTTTTTCTTTTTCTCACCGAATTTTTTTTTTCTTTCTTTTTTTTTACTAAAGCGGAGTTGGGGGGGGGGCGCACCGAGTCGGCTGTCACAGCGGTCCAGCGTGATCTCGGGAGGTTCGCGCGAGGCTGTGTTACAGGAGGTAGTGTGTGTGCGACGCTTTTTTTTTGTCACCGTATGCACGCGAGCCCAAGACCTTCACACGCTCCGGGGGGGTCGGGGGTGGGGGGGGGGAAGGGGGGGTCGGGGGGAATGGGGGGGGGAGCCGTTTCCCCGACCGATCGTCATTTTCACAAGCGGGGACGACGTCAGCAGCCGCTGGGAAGGCCCAAACTTTAGCGGTCGCTAAGGTCAAGTTTATCTCCAGATTTTCCCGTCGTATTTTTTTTTCACTCCACACGCGCTCCCACCGCCCGCGTGCTCGCGACAATGACGGCTTGTAAACAAAACGGCCCCCCCGCCAGCCCCCCCGCGGTAAGTCACACACGAGTGCAAGACGCACACATAAGAGCCCGCGCACGTTTCTTTAAGAACTTTTGAAAACCAAAACACGCGGGCGCGTTATCCCGAGACTTATTAACGCCCACGACTAAGTGACAAGACGCACAGACATTGAGGGCAGCGTGCCATCGCAATAAAAGGTCCGCCCCCCCACGCCCCCCCCCGCCACCACACGGAGGACTTGCAGCACCGCCGGAGTGGCGGGGAGGAGGGAAGGGAGACTTTTATTGTGACGGGACTCCGCACGAATACAGCGGGCTCGTTAAAGAGGCATCGACAGTCATTCCTGTAACAAGAAAATAATGCATTTCGTCTAAATCCACTAAGAAAAGAAAAATATATATATAAGCATACAATGCCTAAATGTTTACGCCACACGCCGGCTGGCTAAACATGATCATTCCAACCCTCTCCTCCCCCCAAAAAAAGAAAAATAACGACGCCAAACAAGTTCAAACAATTAGCAAAAATGTAACAGTACGTCAAGGAAAAACCCCCTTAATTTCTCTTCTTTTTAAAATGCAAGTGTAACTGTTAAGTTCGTTTTCAACAGCTCTTGACGTGAGAACAATAAAAAAACGCTCTCCCTCTCTGCCCCCCCCCCCCCGCCCCACCGTGAGAAAACAAAAGGCTCCAGATGAAATAAACAACAACAAAAACCACCTCAAAACAATCCTGTCCCATGAAATGCTCAAAGTGGGGGGGGGGCGGCGAAGGGTGGTGGTGGGGGGTGGGGCGGTGTACGGGCAGCCGCGCTTTTATTTCGACAGCTTTTTTTGTCGCGCGTGTAGGGATCCGCTATGACGCACCCCCACCCCCCACCCCATGCTACACACGAATAGTCCGAGAGAAAGCGTCGGGAGTGGGGGGGGCGGCGACGCCAATGCCACCACTTCCCTCGTCCGTTCGTGCGTCGGTTTGGTTTGGTTAGTTTTGGTGGTTTTTGGTGAGCGAGCCCCTTTCCCTCGCTTGCGGAGGAGTTGAGCCGGTGTCCCGGTAGAGAGTCGGGGGAGGGTTGGGGCAGGGGGTTTGGGGGGGGCTTCGTGGGGTGGTGCGGTGGGAGGGAGCGGGAGGTGGCGGGGGGGGGGGACAGGCGGGTAAGGAGAGGCCCCTTGCCACTCATCGTCATCCTCTCGCGAGCCAGGGCACAGGACCTGCTGTCGTGGGTGGGGGGAGGGAGACGGAGGAAGAGTTGGGATGGGGGTGGACAGACAGAGGAATAGGTATGAGAAGCCAGGGCCGATGCATCTGAAGGCAAATCTGCATCGCGAAATCTGGTTCCAAAATTAAACTTCTTTTTAGTTTCGATTTAAAGCTTTCGTGACTGCCGGGATTCATCTTCTTGGTTCTTTCGGTAAAGTCACGTAGAAGGAAAATGATAAAAAAAATAAAAAAAATTCTCACGACGTTTCGGCCACAACGCAAGCAGCCGTCTGCCTTCTCGACAGACCTGTTCTCCACCTGAAGACGGCTGCTTGCGTTGTGGCCGAAACGTCGTGAGAATTTTTTTTTTTCCTTCTACGTGACTTTACCGAAAGAACCAAGAAGATTCGTTTTAGTTTACCAGGTAAGGCCACCTGAGCTGGCCACAAACGATAGCTCAACGAAGTAGGTCGACTCAGCCTCAAATGAGTACCTGGTGCAGTGTGTGTGTGTTAATATCAGTGTGTCATCATCGCCACGTGGTGCTGGCAACCCATTCTCTCATGCGCCGTACCGGCCTTCGTAGGTGCTCGCTAACAGCACTTGGCCAAACAGAATGTGTTAAGGCTCTGCGGGGGATCGTTGTAGTTGTATTTTATGACTATGCACGTACAAGCATGTGTGCCTGTATGTATGTGCGTTGCGTGTTGCGGGGGGGGGAATTCTAAGAGGTTACGCGGAGAGATACGTTGAACGCGCGTGAACTCCGTTTGCACGTGCCCTCAAGCAGAATACGACAGAATACAGAGGGGAATAAAATCGCAGCAATAGTTTTAAAAAATGTACCCGTAAAAACAAAGTTTTTCACTATAAATCCTTTATATGCGTGTTCAATGGGCCACAACCCAGCCCACATTGGTCTTTGAAACGGGTGGCTAGAGTCCTCTCGTCCTCTGGCTTGAGATGGCTGCCACCTATGGGTCAGATGATTGCCTGCCACCATTAAGCAATTGGTAATTAAATATAATTAATTATTTCCTAAAAAGTGCACGGTCGTAAGCGCGCAAGCAAGCAAGCAAGTGAACTTCATATAAAGGATTTAATTACACAAAAGGGGGAAGGATTAAACGACGCTCACAAATCCACAGACATCAATCAGCGGTGCGAGCCGCAGCTACGCCTACCTGGTACGTGGCAGCTTCTGCTCACGGGATCCTTCCCTCCGACTGGTAGCACGGAGACGGGAAACCATCTGGAAGAGTCACGTAAGTAAAACATCAAAATAAAAATAAAATCACGACGTTTCGGAGGCAACACAAGTCTCCGTCATCAGGTGGGACCGTCACAGCCGAATTAGCTGCATCAAGTGAAGCAATGATTCAAGATGTAATCCCTTATAAGCAAGTTGAAGGGAGGTGGAAAGTACTCAGTAAAAAAAAAAAACCTAAGAATATGAATCTTTGCAGTCACGAAAGCTTCAAATCTAGAATTAACATCTGGAAGAGTCGCACAAAAATGTTACGCCACCACTGCAAAAGGCAAAGATCCCCCCCCCGTATAGCCTGCAACAGGCTGTTGGGGCAAGTGCTGTTAGCAATTGCCTCTGAAGGCCGGCACAGCACACGAGGGGGTGGGTGGCCAGCACCAGTCTCACTAGTGACGATGTTTACACACCCAACCAGGTCCTCATTTGAGGCTGAGTCGACCTAGAGGAGGCCCAGGACCGGTTCAGATATTCATCACCGATATTGGCCGTGAGCGGGAATTGAACTCGGGTGACTGGGTTCGTAGTGCAGCGCGCTAACCGCTACACTACCACCGCACACGCACACACACACGACGGCAACCCAGCTTATGCCTTGTGTACATACCCACGTGCTGTGCGTGCGCACGTCCGTTATGACGACTTTGTACGAGCGGTGGCGCTACGAAGTCGGCGAACAGAGTTCGATTCCCGCTGGTTCTAGGTCTCTCCAAGGATGTCTCGGCCTTAAATGTGTACCCAAGTGCTGCAGTGTGTGTATAAACATCAGCACTGGGGAGACAAAGGCGGTCGTGCCCTGTCCTGGCCACACCACCTCCTCGTGTGCCGTGCCAGGCCTTCATCGCTGTTGTTCGCTAACGGCACTTGCCCGACAACCTGGTAAAGGCTATACAGGGGATCTTTATCTTTGTGTGCTCCCGCGTAGATGCTTGCATTTAGGCACTATTTTTATTATTATGTACCCAGGTTAAACTAACACCAACATATTTGTATCTTACCAGATAAGGCCCACAGTTATTTTTCAGAAGCGACCTGGCCACAAATGATAGCTCAATGGAGCGGCTCATCACGCGGATATAGCAGCCAAATACCCTAAAACACACACACGTGTTGATTCTAAATGTGGACGGGAAAACCACAGAACCCGGAGAGAGAGAGAGACACCGCAAACTCCAAATATACAGCAGGTGTCAAAGGTCGTGTTCGAACCCACGACCTCCCGCAAACCGGGCGAGGGAGTTACCATCTCCGAGCCACCGTGGCGCCCTAAAAATACAACCCGCACTGCCGAGTTTATTGCACTGTACTCCGCGCACGCCCCTGGCGTACCCGCCGAGTCGGGGGTCGGCGGGGAGCCCTCGGGGCTGTCGTAAGGGCCCCCAGGGCCCGTGGCCGACACGGCCGTCTTGGCCGCGTAAACGTTGGCCTCCTCCTGGAACTTGCCGATGTTTTTCTTGTAGCGGATGCGCTTGTTCCCAAACCAGTTGGATACCTGAACGGGGTGGGGGGTTGGGGGGCGGGAGGGGAGGGAATGGAATGCACGTCACGTGTGCGCGTTAGGTTGAGGCGTGAACGATGCTTTTTTTACCGATGCCCCGTTTTTATCTCAGATGCCAGCAGGTGCCTCACTCCACGACGAAGCCCATCGATGAGCTCGCTAAATGAAATCTCCTTTGCAGTTCGAAGCAAAATGAACTCTAATTCTAGATTTGAAGCTTTCGTGACTGCAAGGATTCATATTCCTAGGTTTTGTCGGTAAAGTCACGTAGGTAAAACATCAAAATTAATAAAAAATAAAATAAAACAAAAAATCACGACGTTTCGGAGGCAACACAAGTCTCCGTCATCAGGTGGGACCGTCACAGCCGGATTAGCTGCATCAAGTGAGGCAATGATTCAAGATGTAATCCCTTAAAAAGCAAGTTGAGGGGGAGGAGAGGGGGGGGGCTAATCAGAATGTGGTAGCCAATGAATGGAACGTATCGGGAGGGAGGGGGGGCTCAAAGACGGCACGGAGTGCCACGTACAACGCATCGGGAGGGGGAGGGGGGGGGCGGGGCCAAAAGAATGCACGACGGCTCTATCCGGCATATACGCAGGGTTATATTTGCTCAAGATTTGTAATCGTTCGATGGGAAAACGTACCTTCTGTACTCTTCACGCAGATCAATGGTGTGCAAGTACTCCTTGTAAATTGCAAACATCTTTTTGGTAGTTTGAATGTGAGGTTAGAAACACTTACGTCTGTGCTGCGCTCATGTTGACTGGGTGAAATGTGGCCAAAATTTTACCCAATCCTGGTCAGCTGGCTCAACAAATTTAACTAAACTAACACCGAGACTCAGAGATTCATAGAGACTCATAAAGACAAATAAAGACACAGAGGCTGGGTGGAAATGTGCGCTAAGTTGCGCCCCAATCCTGGCCGGCTGGCTCAACACACTTAACTAAACTAACATCGAGACTCATAGACACTCACATAGATACAGAGAGACTCATAGACACTCACCGAGACTCATGAAGATACACATAGAGATACAGAGAGAGACTCATAGACACTCACAGAGACTCATAAAGACACACATAGAGATACAGAGAAACTCATAGGAGACACATAAGAGACTGGGTGATAAGTTTTGCTCAATCATCTTCTTGGTTCTTTCGGTAAAGTCACGTAGAATGTTGCTCAATCCTTTTTCTAGCTGGCTGAAACACTTAATAAACAAACCCCACCCCCCGCGCCACCTCCGGCCACACCGTGCAGCCTCACCTGCGACATGGTGATGCCGCACTTCTTGGCGAGCTCCTCCTTGGCTTCCTCGCTGGGGTACGGGTTGCTGAGGTGTGAGTAGAAGTACTCGTTCAGCACCTCCGTCGCCTGCTTGCTGAAGTTCCGACGCTTCCTCCTGCGCGAAGAAACGGCGAGGAGATTCCCCTCCGTCACTTCGAGTCGTCCCGTTTAACTTTTTTTAAAAATCCTTTATATTAAGTTCCCTTGCTTGCTTGCTTGTGCGCTTACGACCGTGCAAATATTTCGGTCGTTTTTTAACCCACTTCCCGTGATCCAATCGAGCTGACATTTTGCACAGACTCGTTGTGCGTGACAATTTATTTTCGTGAAAAAAAAATTCCAAAATTTTCCACTTTTTAGGAAAAAAAAAAAATTCTTATTTAATTTAAAATACCAATGTGATAAAAATGAAACTCTTACTCAAGAAAAACAGAAATGAATAATAAAATAAAACCGATGCCACGCATATAAAGGATTTATAGTGAAAAACTTTGTTTTTACGGGTTAATTTTTTTACCTCCTCCACACGCTTTCACGCTTAAACTACAACTAAACTTTTTTTGATGTTTACCAGGTAAGGCGCCCCCCCGCCCCGCCCCCCCCCCCCCCCCCACTCTGAGCAACGTGGCTCTTCTTCAGAAGCGACCTGACCATCGCAAATGATGGCTCAACGGAGTGAGCTTATTACCGTCGCGTGTAAATTAATAGCAGCTCAAATACTCTAAAACGCGTGACGTCGATTCTAAACTCTGGAGGGAGAATCCAGAGGACCCTGAGAAAAATCCACCCGCCCCCCAACCCCCTACCCACCCCCACCAGCTACCCCCAAAATCCAGGGCAACCGTACAAATCGCTCACCGCGCGTCGAGGAATCGCGAGCGCAGGATCATGACGGCCTCGCACGTGCTCTGCTTGAGCTGCATCTGAATGGAGCTGAACTTGCGGTGGATGATGGACACCATGCGGTCCACCTCCTTGGGGGAGATGGGCCGCGTGCGGCTCTGCTCCCGCAGGAGGTTCATCACGTGGTTCGTGAACTCGCTGCACGCCTGCTTGCGCACACACGCACACGACGAGGAGGAGGAGGATGAGGACGGGGAGAGAGGAGGAGGTGGAGTAAGGATTGTTCGTCTCTTAAATACATTTGTGTCAGTTTTAACGTTCGGTTAGAAACACTTAAGTCTGTGCCGCTCTCTCGTCTTGCTCAGTCCTGGGCAGTTGGCTCACAAAAACATAATAAACCAACAGACTCGTATAAATACACAGACTCACAGAGACTCACAGAGACACTCACAGAGACCCGTAGAAATACACAGAGACTCGTATAGGGACACACTGAGACATAGGGACACACTGAGACACACAGACACACTGAGACACACAGACACACAGAAACTCAGAGACTCAGAGACTCACAGAAACACACAGATTCACAGAGACACACAGAGACTCGTAAAAATAGACTCACAGAGACTCACAGAGACTGACAGAGACACTCACAGAGATCCGTAGAAATACACAGAGACTCGTATAGAGACACACTGAGACACACAGACACACAGAGACTCAGAGAGTCACAGAGACACAGACTCACAGAGACAGAGACCCATAGAAATACACAAAGACTCGTATAGATACACACTGAGACATAGAGACACAGAGACTCACAGACTCACAGAGACACAGACTCACAGAGACAGAGACCCGTAGAAATACACAGAGACTCGTATAGAGACACACTGAGACAGAGACACACAGAGACACACAGAGACTCAGAGACTCACAGAGACACATAGACTCACACAGACTCACACACACTCACAGAGACACACAGAGACTCGTAGAAACACACGAGCAATGTGGATGATGGGCACCATACGTTCCACCTCCTTGGGCACATTGCTTCCGAAGGTGCACACACACTCAGGGTATGGCGGAATCTGGGCGACCGGCTTTGTGTGTGGGGGGGTGGGGGGAGGGTGGGGAGAGGCCCAGGCGCTCGCTACGACGTCACGGTGTCCGATTCAATACTTCCGGTTTAGTCTGATGGCGTCGGTGGAGATTTGCCCCCGTGGCACCTCAACCCCCCCCACCCCCCCCCACCCCCGCCACACAATGATGTTGCAGAATCAGAACATCTATTTATACTGGAGGAATCCGATGAGCTATGAAGCTCTTTTGCCCCAGTAGTTACGACAAAATCTCCCGCTTAACACGGAGGCGTTCCGCTCCTGGAAATTTGCCGCGTGAAGCGAATTCGCGTCAAGCGGAGAGTCATTTTCCCGTGAGGAATAAAGGTGAAGGAGGGGGTACCGTTCCAGCCCGTAACGATATTGTTTTTACTTGACAGTCCACTGTTTCACACGTTTCAAAGACTGCTGGGGGGCAAGTGCCGTTAGCGAGTAGCACCTATAGAGGCCGGCACAGCACACGAGGGGGGCGAGTGGCCAGCACCACAGTAGCGTTGTTTACACATCGCACCAGGTACTTGTTTAAGGCTTAGTCGACCTGGGGGAGGCCCATGACCGGTTCAGATAATCGTTACCGGTTTTGGCAGTGAGCGGGAATCAAACTCGGGTCGCAGGGTCCATAGCGCCACTAAGTGGCGTTGACGTCCCCACGGCGCTTGTGCCAGGCTATTTGCACTTTAAGGGCATGTGAAGTCACGAATGCCCGCTGGCAGGAGGTCACGGGACAGACCCAGGTGCCATGGGTTGACTGACTGTAATGACACTCAGATGCACCACCACCTGTGCCCCCTACACAAAACAAAGAACCCCCGTATAGCCTTTAACAGACTGTTGGGGCAAGTGCTGTTAGCGAGCACCTATGAAGGCCGGAACGGTACACGAGAGGGTGGGTGGCCAGCACCACGCCCGACCGCCTTTGTCTCCCTAGTGGCAATGTTTACACACTGCACCAGGTACTCATTTGAGGCTGAGTCGACCTAGGGGAGGCCTGGGACCGGTTCAGATAATTGTCACTGGTGTTGGCCGTGAGCGGGAATCGAACTCGTGTCGCCGGGTTAATAGCGCAGCGCGCTAACCGCTGCACTATCGCTCCCCACACATACACGGGCACACGAACGCACACGCGCGTACAGCCACTCACCCCCGCGCGCGCGCCCGCCGCCCAACGCCGCTCACCTGCTCGTATTTCTCCAGCTCCGAGTGGTAAATCTGCCGGATCTGCGCCAGCTTGGCGCGGTAGTCCGAGTGCTCGATGCAGCCGTCTCCGGGAGAGCCGCCGGGGTGGGCGATGGCCGCCGCCGCGGCCGCCGCGGCCGCCGCCGAACCTCCTCCTCCCCCGCCGCCAGGGCCACCCTTCTCTGGGCCCGACACACCCTCGGCCAGCAGCATGTTGTCCAGCCGCATGAGCTGCGGGTCAGGGGGGTCGTCGTCCTGCGCGCCGCGGATGCTCAGCACTGGCGCGTGGCGGGGGGGGGGAGGAAACAGCGGAGGAGACGACGATGGTCATCATCGGCGTGATCGGAGGCAGCGAGCGATCCGATCCGCCGGCGGCGGCGTTTGAACGACTGCCCCACCCGCTCCCTTCCCTTCACCACCTCCACCCCCTCCCCTCCCCGAAAAGCCGGTCACGTATCCGAAGAAGCCGCCAGCACGTGGAGCGAACCGTCCGTCGGGAGACCGTGCGGAACAGCAGGCGCAACTCAACTCGAAGGCAGGTTGGAGGGCTTGACCGGTTTGAAGCCGTAGCCCAAACGGTCGCCGCTAATTTTGACGATATTTTTAAAACGACAAAAAATATTCTCTCGTCTGCTTCAGCGATTGATGCGAGGGAACAGATCTGACCCGAGCCACTGGGGGGCAGCGTTTTTCCACGCGTCCAGCTACAGGAGGAAGAGGCATCCGCCGCGCAACGATTCAACGGATCATTCGAAATGGACACGGCTGGGGGAATTTATCGACGTGCACGGGAGATGGCAAACAAAAAAATTATTTAATGCGGTGGGATTTTACCGTGCAGTCGGTGGTGACCGGGCTAAGACCATCAACTCTCTACGCCGGAGAATCCGGTTTGAGCACACGGAAGGGACGGAAACTTGGATTCGAACCCAGGCTCTCAGAGTTGCCGGCTGACACTATTGAGCCCCTGGCCACCCGGTCAGCTTCGATTTTTTTTCTAAAAATATGTATCGGCCAACGCTACGAGAAGATAAAAACAAAGCCTCAGAAAATAATGAACCTCTTTTGACGTGTCGTAACGTTTAAGCAAGTTGTCAGCAGAGGGCGGGCGCAGCAAAATGCACTGATGTACCGTCATATGCACCAACGTCATTGCTTCATTCATTCCGAAGTTACTAAGGACGGTCAAACAAACCTCCCAGGCCCGCACGGCGCGGGGCGGCCCTCATCCAGCAGTGGGCTGACAAACGTGGCTGTGTACGGTACAACTCCGACTCTGTGCTCTGAACACCGAGCCTCCTGGTCACCTCTGGAGACAGTAATTCTTACTCTGGAGAGACTGGTCCTGCCATACGATTGTGGAATTTCCACTGCCGACCGTGGGCTTTAAAAACCGAAATAAATTGGGGCTTTTGCGGGAGATTTTTTTTTACCGCAGATTAACGCTCCAACAACAACAACAACCGCCGTTCGCCACTTAGCGGCGGTGACGTCACCACAGCGCCTGCGCCAGGCGCGCTTCGAGGCCACGTTACAACACCCTCGCACGTTTGCACCATCACCGTCCGTCCGCGCGAGTGCTTCAAAAAGGATCATTTCCCATTTCCGCTGCTGCAGCGTCAAGCGCGAGGCCGCTCTTCAAGAGACACGAGATGCCCTGGGGGGGACCCAGCGGGCAAGGCAGCAACACCAGCCGAGCAGGCAGAGGGAGGGAGGAGTGGAGGAGAGGGGAGGGGAGGGAGGGGAAGGAATGGGGAGAAGGGAAGACGTAGAAAATGAGAAAGAGATGGCTCAGAGGTGGATAGCAGCAAGGGGTGGCCCACAGGGCACCGAGGACACCACCGCAAGACAAAGAGGGAGGATGGCTGGCTGGCTGGCGAGCGGGCGGGTGGGTGGGGAGGACGGTGGGTGGAAGGGAGAGGGCGGGGACTGCGTAGGTCATCGCGACTGCGTTGCTACGGCTCTCCGGCGTGTTTTCAGGGCTGTGCAGCGACGCAGCTCCCAGCGGAGCAGGGTGGAAAAACGTCCGGGCGGGAGAAGGGGGAGGGGGGACACACCGTGCCGGACCAACGCCACCCGATGGCAAGCTCATCGCAAGACACGAGAGTTCGGTCAAGAAAGAGGAGACAGATGGAGGGAGGAGAACAGAGAGGAAAGAGGGGGGGGGGGGGGGAGAGAACAGAGGGTGGGGAGAGGGAGGGGGAGAACGCGGCGGAACGCGGGACGCGTCGCGATGGTGGGGAGCAGTAAAGGCCGCCGCGAGCCTCATAAACAACGTCGGATTAATGCAAATCGCTCGCACGCAAATCCCCCCCCCCCCCCCGGCGCCCCCCCCCCCCACTCCGCACCCACGCCCGCGCGAGCGCGAAGAGCGGCGCGTGGGATCGGCGGCGCGGGGTCCCCGCTTCCTCGCGGCTCGCCTCTTAATTGCTGCAATTACCCATTAATTGGCATTAATTAGCCGCTAACGAGCCCGCGGGTAATGGGGAGGGAGCGAGGGAGGGTGTCGAGCGAGCAAACGAGCGAGCGAGACGGGAGGGAGGGAGAGGGAGGGGAGAGAGACGGAGAAAAGGGAGGGAGGGGAGGAGATGATGGGAGCGGATGTGGCGATGAAGGAGAGATGGAGAAGCGGGAGGGAGGGAAATGGAGAGGAGAGAGGGAGCGGATATGGCGAGGAATGGAGAGACAGAGAGGGGACGGGGAGAGAGTCGGAGCGGACGATCGAGTGACGACCCGGCATCGTCGCTCGCGCGGCGAGTTGACGGTGGGGGGGTGGGGGCGACGCCGTCTCGCGTCGTCCTGGAATCACTGGCGCACGATCGTCACCGCCCGCGCGATCGTCGGCGAAATGGGGCTCAAACGAGGGGCGCCAATGTCGCGGGAGCGCGCGCGAGGGGTCGTGCGCTCGCACGCGCCACCATCTCCGCTCCTGCCGCCTTTATTAAGCCTCAAATATGCCTACGTTCGGAGCCGTAGCACGGTCGAACGACAAGTCGCGCTCAGCGTAGATCGATAAACCGAGGGGTGGTTTCTGGCTCCGATTAGACGTGCTCACTCGGCGTGTAACAATACGCCCTCCCTCACCCCAGTAATGCGATTCTGTGACGTCTCTCGTTTTGTGCCGCCCATAGCTCTCTCTCCCTTCTCTCCTTTGTATTGTGTCTGGCTTGCTCCGTTAGCCTGCAGCCTTCTTTCTAATCGGCGTTCGATATTCTGGTGAAAAAGACGGGGAAACGCGTAACTCTTGATACCATCCGCATTTTTTTTTATATATAGAAATCCTGTGACTGGTGACACAAATGACGGCGATGGAACCAACCGTAACGTTCACGACGACGGAAATAGTTTTTCAACGCACCCGTAACTAACCGTAATCAACATTGTCAACGTGGCTATTTTCTCTGTGCAATGCTCAATAAACGATCAAGCAGCATTTCGTTCAGCAGACAATACCCATCGTCGCACTGATCTTTTATATATAGAAATCTGAAACCAACTACACGACAACATTCCCCGACACTGGCAGACCAATGCCGATTCGCAAGCCGGCGTCGAGCACAGCGGGACGTCAGAGTACTCGGATTGTAAATATCGCGGGTTTACTCTCCGACACGCAACGAACTGTTTGCTTCGGGGGGGGGCGGCGGCGGCGTGTTTGACGACATTTATATTTACGCGACTCGACCCACAGAAAGGCCTCTACTGTGGATATAACATTGTTCGCGGAAGCCTCCGTGTCAAACAGAGGGTCCCAGCTGCAGTCGGCAAGTCCCCCCTGGGCGACTTGCAGCAAGCTCCCCTATACGTGCACAAGAGCTTACCAAAGTCAAAAGTATTTTCCTCCTCGAATAAGCTTCGAGGCATTGATGCTCGCACGTCCTGTTGACACAAGCCCTGCACATCCAGCGGTGGAAACTCCACGTTCCCGCGGTCGGGGCGGACGCCCGTACGTTCGACCCTCTTTCGCACCGCACGTAGGCAACCGTGCGAATCGGAGGAGCGGGGTAAGGACCACCGACTGAACACAATAAGCGAGAGAGGGTGAGGGCGAGTTTATCCACAGGGACACCACCGTTGACTTCCACCACACAAGCGGTTGCTCATTTTCTCGACCATCCCCCCCCCCCACCACCACAACCTGGATATGAACTCACAACGTTCCGATTGCGAGCCACTTGCTCTCCCCGCGTTTTGGGAAAGTTTACTTTGTTCAACCCAGGTGAGAACTCAGAAAGACCCGGATGTATCTAGCGTACGATATCAAGTAGTATCGCGTAATATCGCAGCAACCCTCAACACTTTAAATCTTGCACTGCTGTGGGGGGGGGATAGGGTCTGCATGGCTGGGATGAGAAGCCTTGGCACATGGGAGGGAAGTAATGTTTGTGTGCTGACAAATCCTGCCAGCCAACGTTACGCTGACAGACTAATAGGAGGACTCGGTTTAAACACACGGGTTAGGGTTACGCCAGACCGGTAATTCAATGATGAGAGAATCTCGCCGCGAAAAGGTCTTTAAGTGGGAAAAGTGTCATCAAGTGACTTGGATGATATCAATGGATGCTGTCCGCTCGCCCCCTGTGCCCCTGCTCCGTAGCGGAAGGGCCATTCCCCAAAACATTCGCACACTATATGACTTTTAGGTTTTCCCAACCCCCCCCCCCCACCTCGACACGAATTCATTATAATTCTACCGCGGTATCAGCATCGCGGTGATGAGTTGAACAAAAACATTTTTGACATTCGGAACTCGGCAGCTTCCAGTGCGTGGCAGAGGTTGCAAACGGGTTTTGATTCCTTACCCGTACCCGGCCGCACCAGGGTCACAAACGGGTTTTGATTCCTTACCCGTACCCGTACCCTACCCGATACCCGGCTACCCGTACCCAGCCGGGTATCGGGTAGGGTACGGGTATCGGGTACCCGATTGCGACCTCTGGGATGAAGCCATGTTGCAGGCGCGGGTGGGTTGATTCTAGGAACTTGAATTGTGAGAAGAGACAAGACGTTGGGAAATGAGTGACAAAAGGTTACTCACCAGTGACTCACGACCTACCCGTACCCGGCCGGGTACGGGTAGCCGGGTATCGGGTACCCGATTGCGACCTCTGGTGCGTGGTATTTGCCCGTGCCGGAAATTGGACCCCAGACGACTGACTTCGCCAAACACTATAACAATTCCGATTTCCCCATTTGCTTAATTGCCGTGCCATTTTCATACCCCGTCAACCCATACGGTTTCACCCCGTACTCTTGTCCAGGGAAATTGAGTTTCTAG